CTAACTAATATCGAGGCCTTTTGTGGTAAAACCCCACACCTGACGGATTGGGCAGGTGGTAAAGTGGGGACAGTATCGATGTTGTTAGAGTGGACCCAACGGGCAGATCCAAAAATTTAACGAAGGCTTAGCTAGGCTGGATAGTTGGGAAGAAATGAATTCAACCTTCAAGTCCCTGTTTCTGAGTTAGCAAGAGCTAGGTCCAAAGCTTCTCAAAGGAGAAGCAAGTCCTAAAGAATACTCTGTTCTTCTTCTAGCAATTGTTTTGATGAGTTCCAGTCTATGTTGCATTGATACGTGGGATTTTTGGGGTATGCGCGTATCCGATACGTCACCCATACGGCCCTGATATGTATCCGATACGCCACGTGGCATATCGTGGACTTTTCTGACCTGTTGACTTTACGATACGGCTCCGATACTCCATTGATACGGTCACGATACGGTCGTGATACTCCATTGATGGCAACCAAAAGAGAAGAAGAAGAAGGAGTTATTTATTTTCTCTCTAAATGCTCGTGCAAAGAAGATTGACTGATGCCATACTCTTCTATAATAAATAGTTATTCTAGTGCAGCTAGGAGAGCTAACTAAGACTAGGAGCTGTTCGGGAGAACTCCGATTTAAGACGATTTTAAATAGACGAGATCAGATCGTAGAATATCAAAGTCTGTTCCCGCGTCCCTGGTTCTATCAAACCAGACTATTTCATTCCAGGGAGCGCTAAGAAGCAAGGCCGGAGTGAGATGAGCGTAGGTTAGGTCAGCTACCAACTAAGCTAGGAAGCCGGGAAGAGCCGGTACGGCTAACTTTCCGATGTGTTAGTGTCGTTCCGAACTCTTAATTGACTACCGGCATGCTCAACGGCCTAGGAGCGATTGCCCGACAGCCATAAGACCTGACCGCTATCAGACTGAGGAGTAGATTTCTTTCATCGATCACCCATTCCCCTTTTACCCAATGCCCTCAATCGACGGGAGAAGAAACCGAACGTACTGTCAAGGGCTTACTGAGGCCCCATCTGCATTCCTTCTTGCACTAGAGGCCACCACAAAAAGCCTTGTGCCAATCCCGCAGCGTCGAAACCTTTCTCTTGAACCACGGGTCGTTTCATGATCCAATCTTGGCCGTTGACTGAGGGTAGGAATTGGGAAATGCTCTGCCTTCCATTAAAATAGTATTAATGGGTTTTGGGTAATGATGTTTGGGTGAAAAATGCTGTACAGCCTAAAAATATAAAGAATGAGAAAAGAAATATCAATTTTGAATGAAGTTAACTTATAACGGATGAAATATAAATTTTTAATTTTTCAATTTATATTATTATTTTAATCGCCGTATCGGTGCCGTACTCGTATCCTATTTTTTAGAAATTTACCGTACCTGTATCCGTATCGGTGCAACATAGGTTCCAGTGGTCTGGAATGAGTTAATGATGTACGTGACTTGCAAGAGAACTGAATAGCCTCCGGCGATTGTTTGGATTTCTCCAATGCTTACACATTAATGTTACGTATAGGCTTGGCATGAGAGGCTTGTGGCATGGGAGCTAAAAATCCATAAGTTTAGAAAGAGACAACGATTTGTTTGAATGGATGATTATGGCAGTGTATTGTGGAATGATTGGGTGGTGTTTTGGGAAATTCATGGAAAGGTTGATGCTTGAGTTTGGTACTTCCAGTAGCTAGAGGATGCTTATTCTTGTTACTGCTGCTGTGATCTTGGTAAGGGTTTGGATGATGATTAAGGCTTGAAGGGGTATGAGCATGATGCAAAGGGTAAGGCTTGGGGTTTGGGTGGTTACAACATCTAGAGAATGAGCTTGCCTCTTGTTGCTGCTTTGGTTTGTTTTCGGGTTTGGAATGGATAAGGCTTGGGTTTTTGGGTGTTTCCAGGTAGAGGATGAGCTTTCCTTTGCCTTGGTTTGTTGTGGTTTTATGCGTTCCTTCTCCCTCTAGTTATAGGCTGGGATGCATAGGGTTTAGGGTTTGTCTGCTCCTTCAATAGGGCTTATGGACACTTGTAACCATCCACAACACAACCCACTTAGCAAGTCCCAGGCATGTATGTTGCTTGGGCCCACTTAAGCTTGTTTTGCAGTTTAGCATAGGAAAATGTATTAGTTTGCACAAATTTATTTGATATTTGCTTGGCAAGACATGTACACTATTCCAACTTGTATAAAAATACATCTATATTTATTTACTAAATTAATTCCCAAAATACAATTTGGATTAGCATGTGGCAACTATTGTATGTTATATTGGGCTTTAAATGTTTTTGGACTTCTCTTGACATTTTAGGCCTCAACAATAACATAGATGTTCACTATTGTAGGGTGATGGAGAAAATTGTTGAAGAGGCAGAAAGGGGAGGAAGTATTGAGGATGAATTGATATTTCCGCACTTGATTTCTATCAAACTTAAGGATTTACCCGAATTTAAATCTTTCTGCTCTGAAGCTTATACTTTGAAGTGGCCATCCAGTTGAACAGTGTCCAAAATCAAAAGCGTTTGCTCCTAAGTCTCCATATGTATAAGCAGCTGAGCCGACGTGTATCTATGAAGCGTCTAAGTGGAGAAAACAAGGTATGTTCTACTTTCAACTAAGCCCTGCTCTCACACTAAAATCAGTAAAAGAGAGATCTTAATATTTTCATTGGCCTTGCTTATATATATATATATATATATATATATATATGTTCCCTTTTATAAAGTAATATTTGAAAGTATTCATCTCATCATCATCTTGATTTACTTTGGACATTCGATCAAAAGCTCCCTTTACTGTTTTGAACTTTTATATTATATTTGAAGCCTTTTTTTTTCTTTCGTTTTTTTATTTGCATAATTACATATTCTTGACAGGGCTTACTTTAGATTTTGAAGTCCTTGTGCGAAACTTCAATTGAGACCCTCACATAATCCAACACAAAATTGACCACTACAAAAGTAATGAGCACGTCAATATTTCAAGAAAGTGTGCCTAGTTGTTCGGTTCATTTTTACACATGATTTTTCATGTTATTCACCTATTATTTTGAGTTAGTTCTTGACATTTTATAGCTTTTTACTTCCTTTTGGTGTTTTCTTAGATTTTACCTTGGTTGTGATGAAAATGAGCTAAAAGTGCATTATTAGTTATAAATTCTGTTTTTGTTCATTTTCGTAGGTCAACTTCTTGGCCTGGGATCAACATGCT